CCCCTCAAGTCCTCCCACGCCCCCTGCCCCGCTTTGCTCCATGCCGATGTTGTCGGCTTGAGGACAGGGACAGGGATGCCTGTGGGAGTGGAGTCCGGGGAGACGTTGCTGGCCATGCGCAGTGGGGTGATGGTGTCCTCGGGGCATGGCTGTGACAGTGGGGTGAGGGTAGCACCCCACAAGTGGGGATCATTGCCCCCAAAATGGGGCTTGTGCCCCCTGCATGTGGGCAAGTTGTACGGGGAGCGCGTTCTGGAGATGCTTTGTCTGTTCTCCAGATCTGCAGTGACTTCAGCAATCCCACGTCGTGCCGCAGCAGAAATGGGTCCTGCGGTACGTCAGCGATCTGTGACTCGAGGAGCGCAGGGGCTGCACGAAGTACGCACGCTGCAGCCTCCCTGCTTCTTTGGGGTTTGGGATTGATGTTGGAGCCCAATGGCTACACGGTGCCTTACAGGCAGGTGCCAGCTTCACCCACTGAGGACACCAAATCGTAAAATATTTTCACGATGGTCTTTAATCGCTGCGTGAGTAGGTAATGCACATTTCTCACTGGGGAGCCATAAGCTGACCCTGACAGTTTGGCAAACAGCACTCGCTCCACTCACACCGTAATCGCAGCCTTTTCGCTGCACATGCGGCTTCTCAGCATCTTGCTGCATCAGTATGAAAATCTGTGCTCTCCTACCTATGAGAAATTTTATCAGTTGCCTTTGAGGACATCTGACGGGAATCAAAATATGTGGGCCATCCTTGCTCATTCAGTGATAAACTTCCCCTTGCCAGACAGGCAGACCTAATTCACTTTTTTTTTTTTTTTTTTTTTTTTTATTCATGACGTTATGGGAACTTTGAGATCACAGCCTGAAGCAGTGATGGAGCATCTGGTGAGGGGTGGTGCAGCCCTGCAAGCACAGGTGGAAGCAATGCAGCTGTGGGACCAGGTGGGGCTGAGCCTGGCTCCACCCCTCCCTCACCTCATTTAAGGGCTGGCAGCCCCCAAGGCAGTGTCTTTCCTGGAGGCTGCCTGCTGTGGACTGTTGGGTGAGTGCTCTTTCCTGGAAAGAGGCAACTGTTTTTTGTTCTGTGCTGTAGGGCTTTGTTCTTTGCCCTCTGATCTGAGGGGATCCGAAGCTGGACCTGTGGGAATGGAATGTTGTTTCTGCGTTTGATATTAAAAAGTAGCAGTTGGTTTGAAGAAGTAGAACATAATGCATTTGTACTCTGTTACTTATCCTTAGGAATAGTTGATCTAAGTAGTAAAATACTGTATATGTTAGCGGCGTGTTTTAGAAACGTTATTACTGAACTATGTGAATTAATCTTTCTTGCAAAATGGTAATAGTTGTCAAATGTTCCAAACAATGCGAGTATAGCGTGCTAAGGATTAGAAAACATATTGTGGAGCTTTTCTCTTAGGATAAGAAACTCTTGGTGGAAGACAGACAGATTTAGCAAACATCAAAGAAGTCAGGGCCTCTACACAAGGCCAGACTGTCTCACTCCGTGAGAAGGTTGGGGTGTGAAGGCAGGCACCAGGATCCTCCCCTGCCTCTCTCCCAAGCTTATCTTTGTAGAAAGGAGGACAAGCAGGTATCTGCAAAATAATGATCAGATGTGGAATAAGTTAATTAACTACAGATTGATGCTTATGCAGCAAAAATTTATGTTTGTCCAGTGTTTCCATGTTTAGTGAAGCGTTGAGAAGATTGTGAACCTGAAGTACTCAGCTGATCAGGAACCGGGGGAGTACGAGAGAAGCGTCGGGGAATAGGGAATAAAAGAGGTAACTCTGTTGTCTGTGTGCTCTCCTGCTTGCAGGAGGCCCGCCACTGCAATTGCGAATAAAATCTGCTTTATCAGAGATACTGTCCTAGAAAATTATTTGGATATTTCCTACAGTTTGGGGGCTCATCTGGGATAATTATCGCCCCCTGGGGTTTCCCCTGCTGCCCTGGACAGGATAGGTGCACCCCGCTGATTTCAGCAGTCCTGTCTGGGTGGTGAGGTGACTCCTTGGGACGGCCGATAAGAAACCGAGACTGTTACATAACGGACGGGCTCTGAGAAAGCCAAGGGGCAGGTAGGCACGGGTACTGACCCCTGGAGACCCGGTAACTTCGTGCACGGACCGAGGTAAGGGAGTTTGATTCTTGCCTTGGGGGTCGGTGGAGACTCGTTGAGTCTTGGCAGGGAGCTGTTGGTGTGTGGTGCCCTGTGCACTTGACCAAGTGCCAGCAGTACACCCCTATTAATCCAGGAATCGGAGCGAGGTGCTCCAGAGGGATTGGCCCTAGATCCAAGGATCGGAGTGTGGTAACCTGTGAGCTGGGGAGTTCACAGCAGCATTCCGGAGGGATGGGGAATAGGAGCTCTGTAGGACAGGGGAAAAGGGTCCCCAAATTCATGCCTAGAGATTGCCCCTTGGGAAGGAAGCTTCAGGATTGGAAGTAATCCCCAGACCAGGGAAAGGAACAGGGAAAGGATGTTTAAATACTGTATATAGACATAGCCTTGAGAGCCACTACAGGGAAAATCGTGATTTTGACCAAAATAGGGGTCTGACAAAGATTGGGCCTGTCAGACTTTGTATTTATACGTAAACAGTAAGATTCCTTTTTCTGAAACAGAATTGGCTTATGTTGCTGAATGGGTGCAAGGAGTAAAAAAAAAAAATCTTCCTCACAAGGAGTAGTCGAATTTCAAAAGAAAAAGGAAAGAGAAGCAGAAAGATCATAAATGGGATCCCTTAGATACCTTTCTCCCCCCCCCCCTCAATTTCTAAAGCAATGCAAGTGACAGAGTGTAAGAGATCATTATTTTGCATCATCATTGTCTCAAAGCTTGCTGAGGACACAGATGAACAAGTTCAGGCAAGTCCTGGTCAGGGGTTGAGAGAGCTTTTGTCTGGAGAAGTTTGATGGGCAAGTCCTGGGCAAGGATTGTGAAATCTTTTGTCCGAGGGTCAGAGATGGGGGCTACGAGAGAGAGAGAAGCTGCAGCTTAATAGCTGTGAAGTGGTCTTTTGTGTGGACTTATCTCAAGGAAGGTGGCCATCTCAGGAAGTATTCGCAGGACTCCTGCTCAAACACCCAGGGATGTCACGTAGGCAGGAGAAGTAGTAGGATAAAAGAGGCATCGAAAACCATGAAGAGGGGTGTCTGCCATCAGATTCCTCGCCACGGAATTCCTGCATGCTGACGGACTCTCCTGGGCCTGCTACCTGAGTCCTGCTGCTTCCCCTCTTGGACTGGCTCTGCGACTTCTTCCTGCTACCTGTTGCTGCCCCAGGCCTTCCATGCTGCTGCTCTCCCCCCCCTGCTGCTTCTGCCTCGGACCTTCGGAACGTCGTGCAACAGGAGGCTGCTGGATCCTGGTGGTGACTATCCCCGCTTCACGGCATTCTTGCTTTTTCCTAGCTTTTCTATCGCCCTCCTTTCCTTTCCTGTCTCCCTAATTAGGACTTATAATAAACTGGTTGGACTAACATATGAACCGTTGTTTCTTAATCTCACACCGGGGATACAGATATTAAAAGAACCTCATCTCCCTCCTATAAATTGGAGCGAGACACTATTTTGGCGTAGTCGGGCAGGATGCCCGCTGTGAGAGTGTTGTCCTTCCAGATATAGTTTGAAACTTTTCTGTGTGCACCTCCTGGGGTTGCAAGGAGCGTTATTTTTAAAAATTTAGACGTGGGTCCTTCTCCAGGAAGACCGCTCCGTATTCTGAATCTTTGCTTTTTATGTGTGTACCTCTTGGGGACGTATTTTGTCTATTTGCATTTTGTTTAATACGTGTGCGCCTCCTCGGGAAGACTTCTCTGCAGCTATTTTGAAGCGCGAAATTTGAACCTGTTTTTGTGTTTGCGCCTTTTGGGGAAGTGAGGAAGTGATACTTTGTGACTTAAACGTGTGTGCCTCTCCAAGAAGTTTTTATTTGCTTTACTGAAACCTCTAAGTGTTGCTTTAGCAAGGAGTGAAACTGTAACTTAGTGTCACGGAATTAACTAGATCAGTTTATGCCCGTGACAGGGGGCAGTAGGCCCCTGCCCTCCCCACCCCCCGCCTGGGCCCACAAAATGGGAAGGAAGGGGGAAAAGGAAAAAAACAGCGGCAACAATCTATGGAGGTAAACTGATTTTACTAACTATGATATCGGAATGCAAGATAACACAATATAATACAATCTAATTGAAATTGAGACTAATGAATCAAGTAAGATATGAGAGAGAGTTCCCGAGACCGAGTCAAACCTGAAAAAGCTTGGAACGGCTAGGAAAGCACCTCCAGCACCCACTGCCAGGCAGTAAGAGACCGCCCCCCCGGAAGGGTCAGATCCATGACCTCCGTAATGTATAGGGACAGGTACGTAGAGTTAGAGCATTAACACTTCAATTCCAGTACATGATGTTTTGATGTGGAATATTGAAAATCAAATAAGCAAAAACCAAAACCATGACACTTAGGTGTGGTGTTTACCTAATAGGTGTTGGTGTAGCTTCTTGTCTTTGTGTGTGCCTCCTGGAGTTGCATGAAGCGATATTTTTGAAAACTTAAACGTGAGTCCTTCTCCAAGAAGACCGCTCCATATTCTGAAACTTTACTTTTTATGTGTATCCCTCTCGAGGACGTATGAATTGATTTTGATTACGTGTGTGCCTCCTCGGGAAGACCTGTCTGCATGTTTGTGATTTAAGTATCTTGTAACTTAAGTGTGAAATCTGAACTCTTTTGTGTGCTTCCCTCAGAGAAAGGGAAGAGTGACTGGAGCATTTGCATTTCTTTAGTAGGTGTTGTGTGCCTCCCTGGGGGGGAGGTAAGAAGTCACCTGAGCTTTTGAATACGTATACCTCCTCCCCCCTTTGTGTAGATCTTTCAGCGTATTGAAAAATGAGTGACAGCATTGCCACCATGAAAGGTGAAGATGTGTTATTTGATCTTTTAGAAAAACATGGTGCTCGACCCTCTTTATCAGGTGTGGATTGGGCACGACAGAACTGGTATAACTTGCAGAGTGTTTCGGACCGTATTTGTGTTTTACAAAATGAGGCTCGTACCCGAGTCGGAAAAGGAAAGGCGTTTATTTGTGCCGTACTCGGGGCTGCTTTAAAAGCTGCCGTGGAGTTCCGAGAGGAAAAGCATTCGGCAGCAGAAACCCAAGCTATACAAGCACTACAGGAATCAGTTAAAGTAACACAAGAACTGGTAAAAACTTTGCAGAATCAAATAGTGAACCTTGAGGAGCAATTAGAAAGAGAGAAACATAATTCGGCTTTGTAGCAAATGGCTTTTAAGGAACTGTTAATGTCTAAGCATGCCGACAATACTGTCACCCATAGTCTGCCTCACGAAAAAACTCTTCCTCAGGAGGAACTACAAAGAATGAAGGAAAGGCTAGATAAATTAGAAATGCCAATAGCCCCATTGCGCCCCTTGGTAAAAGCTGAATATACATTCGATAACGGTGAGGATCTAGATCCTCAAATGAATGTTAAGGAAATTCCCTTCTCAGCCACTGAACTAGCAAAATTGAAAAAAGATTTTAGCCGCTCTCCAAACGAATCTGAAACAGTATGTATGGAGGGTTAGCCTCACTGGTGGAGACCAGATTCTGCTAACAGAAAAGGAAGCGGAGGGCTATTGGGGACCAGGAGTATTTTTGACTACTGGCAACAATCGTGCTCCCTGGTCCTTGACACAGAGGGCTGCCTATTGGGCAGGTGGTCTCAACCCTCTAAAAAGGGGAGATCCTCTTGCTATTATTGGAGCAGTTGATCAGTTAGTAGAAAGTGTTCAAAAGGCTGCTTGTCTCCAAATGATGTACGATAGAAAGCTGCAGCCACATCATGAATCACCCACGATGATGCCCGTGGATCCTGAAAGGATGACCCCACTAATTAGGGGGCTTCCAGAGTCGTTAAAACCTATAGGTATACAACTGCAAGGAAAAATACAGGTAATGTCTCAGGGAGAAAGAACCCGGGCAGCGTTGGAAGGAACAGTAACCCCCAACCATCAGCAATCAGGATGCAAAGTATGGACGTGGGGGGAGGTTGCCCAAGAGTTAGTTAATTATGGGAGAAAATATGGGCTGGTGGTTTCTTCCTCCAGTAAATTTGAGCCTAGGGGAGTAAGGCTTGCAGCAGCCAGTCTTGCCCCCAGGCCACCTAGCCCAAAACTTAATGGAACTGAAAAGGTTTTGTCCCCGATAAGAACAGGTAGACGGAGCATTGATCATAAACATAATGGACTGTGGACCCTGGGCTGGAAAAAGGGTATTCCATGAAATTTGATGGATGGATTGACGACAGATAGGCTCGAGATGCTGGTTGCTGGATGGCCAACTAGACTTGAGGAAAGTAAAACCCCAGGTCCTAGTGCCCCTCCCACAGTACCTGAAGGGCTACCAGAGCCGTTGGGAAACTAGTTCCTTCACCCCTCTCAAGTGAGCGGGGGGGTGAAGGGTGATTGCTTATTAGGAGGCTCACAACTCAAGGCAGTGATCTATTAATTACATGCATTGTTGAACCTAACTTAGTTCCAGTGACGTTTCTTGTAGGCGCAGGAGCACAAATTTCAGCTCTGGATTATTCCTTCATTTTGACCATATTAACAAAGCCCGAGAGGGCAAGTCTATGTCTTGTTTTTGTTTTGCAGAAGAACTCTGTGGAACTCCGAACACAGTGGATTTTAATTGTTGGTATTTTGGAGATTCTGCAATACCCTGGTGAAATGTTATCTTGGTTAATTTGTTGTACTGTGTGGGCTGTAACCTCTATAACAACCAGTTATCCCCTCATGGACTCTGGGAATGGGGGGAATGGTACAATATTGGATTTGTGGTCATTATGCATATAAACCTGCAAACTGGACTGGGGTATGTTATGTTGGAGTAATCCACCCAATGTTCTTTTTACTTCCAGGAAAGGATGGCAGTGAATTAGGTGTCAGAGTATATGATGATCTCAATCGACACAAGAGGTCTATCGACACCTCCGTAACATGCGGTAGTGGCCAAACTTGGGGCAAAGATGACTGGCCTCCCCAGCGTATAATCAAACACTATTGGCCAGCCACCTGGAACCCCAATGAGTGGGTTAGTGGTGCTCGAGAGCCCATCTATAACCTAAATCGTATTATCAGATTGCAAGCCATCCTCGAAATAAATACTAATGAAACAGCATATGCCCTTGATCTTGCAGATCAAGCTTCACAGATGCGGGCGGCAATACTCCAGCATCGCATTGTTCTGGACTACCTGCTAGCCGAAGAAGGGGGGGTCTGTGGCAAATGAAATGACTCTACTTGTTGTCTAAAGACTGATAACGGTAAAGTTGTTAAGCAAATTGCCCAAGGTATACGGAAAATAGCACATGTTCCTGTTCAAACTTGGAAAAGCCCAGACCTTGACCTCTTTTCCTGGCTCCCAGGTGGCCCATGGGTAAAACGTATCTTATTTTATCTGTTATGTGCTGTTGAGACTCTCATGTTCATTCCTTGTATGATAACAGGTTTCATTCAACTTATCCAACGTGTTGTATCCTCTATGCAATTCGTAACTTCGTCTGCGGAAGGAGAAGTCAAGCAGATCAGGGCGACATTTGCAAAAAACCCTGATGAATCTTTTGTAATGATTATATGAAGCTTTTAATTCCCTGTCCCCCTCCCTTCTTTACCCCTATGCTTGCTATCTCTTTCTCACCATCATGGATCACCAGTGTCCCATTTTAAAGCAACCATTGAGCCACGGGGTGGTGTAAGAGATCATTGTTTTGCATCATCATTGTCTCAAAGCTTGCTGAGGACACAGACAAACAAGTTAAGGCCAGTCCTGGTCAAGGGTTGCGAGGTATTTTGTCTGGAGAAGATGGATGGACAAGTCCTGGGAAAGGATTGTGAAATCTTTTGTCAAAGGGCCACAGATGGACAAGGCCAGGGGCAACAAGAACTTAACTTAACCCCTTCCCGCTGTAGCTGTGCAGGGTGTATGACGTGTGAATGGGGATGGGACAGGACAATGAGAGTGAGAATAGCCATCATCTGCAGAGATCTCGGGAAACCGACATCCCAGTGTGAGCACCAGAATCCTGGGGAGGGGAGGGGGTGAAACAGAAATTACTAACTTCGTATTTCAGTAATGTTCAGAAAGCCTGGAAAGTGAAAAGGGCTTGGGAAAAACACAGGCTGAGGAAGGCAAATGAAAATAGGTGCATGTATCGGGCTGGGACCTGAGCTTAAGAAA